AATGCATCAGCCTGGGATTAGTCCTTTTTACCCCTTTATTACAACCAGCTAAACTGGATACAAAATTATGACGGTACTTTTTGATTAATTTTGTCCAAGTTAGAGGACAAGGAGAACCAGAACAAGATGTAAAACATGGTAATGTGACTGTAGCAGATAGAAAGCACTGGCTGAGGCTCATGGGCAGTTCTAGACAGGGGCGACGGGGGCCAGTGCCCCTGTAATGAAGACATAATACTCTTAATGATGATATGTGCTGGAAGAGACATGTTACTGATTGTTCTTTTGGATCTATTTCATTTTTTCTTTAATAAATTCTGTTTTACTAATTATTTAAAAACAATAAGGTGATAGCTTTAGTGGCATTAAGATAGGATCCCAGTTTTTATCTGCTAAATGTTTTTTTCAAAACAAATAAAATAAAAAATACTCTAAGTTTTACAGCTGAATTAATCGTTTTTTCTTGAGTTCTAATTAGATTTGATAGGAAAACGGTAATTTTAACTTAAATTAAGTCAAAAATATGTAAAATTCTGAATGTATATTGACCTAATAATACATATAATTTCAATTAAATTGAATAGAAATTTGACTTCATGCAGCTATCTTAATTTATTTGAATCCCTTTCTGTTTTTTATTAAATCTTTTTTCCGGGCCCCCACAAAAACACGCTGGCCCCCTCTTGGCCCCCTGGTACATTTGGTCTAGAACTGCCACTGCTGAGGTTTATTTTTTTTTTAAAAGGAAATGGGTTATTTACTTTTCACTTTTCAGTTCGACTGCAAATCAAATGTGGGTCAAAGGTTGCAAACTGTGAGACAGAACTGATTTATTGTACCAGGCTCATTTTTCTTATTATGTTAATGGATAAAGGGCTGAAAGCACAATAATTAAACATCCTAAAATAAAACCTTCGTTTTGCTAACAGATGTCACCCTGTTCCTCTAATTAGCAGGAACTGATGTCTGTCTTTGCACCTTTAGGTGCTGTGGCTGCCCTCAGATATGAGGTCTCTGGTCCATCAAACGGATCCTGACCTCCAACAGACGTCTGGGAGTCGGCTCCCTCTAGAGGAACTGCAGCGTAACCACATCGTCAAACTCAACCTGCCCTATAGCTCCATGTCAGCTGAACTCATCAGGTGGTCACCGTGTGTTTTTCAATACTGAGCAGATAAACCTGCAGACATTTATTAGTTTTTTCTAACACCATTGCTGCTGTTGTCACCTGCAGTGAGTACTCGGCAGTAAACATCACCACCAACCTGTATGTGATCAGCCAGCCGTGGCTCTACTCTCTAGCCTGGTGCTCGGGGGTCCATTCGGTCACCACCAACGCTCCCCAGCTGCTTCGGACCCTCAAATCCCCGCTTCTCCTTATGGTGGGTTTGTCTACAACTAGAGCCATGCTGCTATTTTTATGGCTCATTTTAAGTCTAAAAACATTTCTCTGCTAATGAGGAAGAAACAAACTCATAATCTTCATCACACTGCAAAAACTGAATATTTAAAAATTTAATAGGAGTATTATTAAAAGAGGATTTTTACGCCACTTTATTTACACAATTCAAACAATAAGTCAAATTTTGATGTAAAACAAGTGTCAGCTAAAAATCATTATATGAGGAGCTTACGGTGGCCCTGAAGTGCAAACTGCAAACTACAAATCTAAAAGCGCAACTACATTAAGGAAATCGCAACTACATAAAGCAAAGCGCTACTACATTAAGGAAAACANCCTCCCAGATCTCCAGATGCATTTGAGATATCAAAAAAGTACTCCAGAGTGTTGTTCAGCATGGGGGTGAGTAGAAAATGAAGGTTAATCATGTTTTGGGTGTACTATTCCTTTAATATGGGATTAAAATGACAAGACCTCTCTCTATAAAGCCTCAAACTCAATGCTAATCCAGACATTTTGAATTGAAAAACCTCCTGGATGGGAAGAGAAACGTCTTCAAACTTAGAAGCAAAGTCCAGTGGATTTTTTTTTTTAAGTTTTTGGAATATCTCCAATAACCGCGGTTCACAGCTGTCATACCAGCATAAAATGCAGTTTATACAGGCTCTGGTGGGCTGCTCCATGCACTGCCTGATCATAGGTGTTGAGAACACCAGAATATGTAACCTGACATAAGTGAGATTCATCCTTGCAGTTCAACTTGAATGTAAAACAGTATCCATTAAGGGTGTGGGGAAAAAAATCAATTAGGCGATATATCGTGATGCTCAGATGCCCAATATAATATCCATCTTTCAGTTCTTAATATCGATTAAAAAAAAAAAAAATTTTTAACTGAAACAATGAGGTAAAAATGTTGTTTATTTTTTAGGAAAAAGAGAAAATCCAATATAGAATGAGTAAAATGTCTTTAGGTGACAAAAACATCAAAGCAACAGAAGGTCAACAGCTAAAGTCTAACTGGAACATGTTGGAGTATTTTTCTTATGAGTGAAACTAGAGCAGCACTGCATTCTGCCAGCAAATGGAAAATATATCGATCAGTTTGTTGCAATAACTGGACATTGATTAGATTTTTTCTTTTCTACCCCTTTCAGCAAAATCCATTTGGGACAGCTGGTTCTCTGGGACAGGAGGAGAGACGGCAAGCAGAAAACCAGTCAATCTGCAGCCTGCAGGACTTCCTGCAGCTTGCTGGTCAGAATCACAAACTGGTGATCTTTGACCTCTACCGCCCCCCCTACGGCCACCCGTACAGCAGCAGCTGGATTCAACGCACACTGGATGTCCTCTACAAAGTGTCGTCCATTCAGTCATCACAGGTAAAACGGCTTTAAACGGTTTAGTCTTTAGGATCAAATGGTTTTTCACCTTTCAAGTTGGTTTTAAATGTTCTTCCAGAATCATTTTCTTAATTTTTCTTTTCAATTCAATTTTTCTTCATTTCTTTATTGCATTTTGTGATAAATTATATTATCTTTAAAAGGTTTTTTTCAGTAGCCTAGCTTATAGATGATGAAAACCATCTCCTGACTGTGGCATCGACATCAGCCTGTGAGGTGCAGAGGGGTTCAGAAAACACCCAGGTTGCTTTGATTTAGGCCTTTAGGTCATCTGTACTGAAGGATTCGGTGTCTAATTTTTTGTCATGCCACATATATGGTCAATCAAGCAAAGAAAATTAAACCAGACTGAATAAAAATGTAGTCCTCATCGTAAATATCCGCTTAACTCCAGGATGCTGTTATATTTGGCACAGAAAGAAAGTTTTTCCTTCCACTAAACTTTCCATATATTAATGGAAAGTTTAGTGGAAGGAAAAACTTTCTTAGATGAATCAGTCTGTCACCTGCCAGCTTCTTTTGCACAGTGACTTTATGTTGCTCACCCACCTGTAGAGGCTTTCTATTGGACTATATGGTGGTTTAGGCCATAAAATGTCGTTTCTGCATAAGGAATTATTGTCTTGTGCAATAATCAAATTTCTGAGAAACAGATTTTTGGGTTATACTTCAAAATAACTAACAGAAAATTATGTTTGAAATGCATCAGCCTGGGATTAGTCCTTTTTACCCCTTTATTACAACCAGCTAAACTGGATACAAAATTATGACGGTACTTTTTGATTAATTTTGTCCAAGTTAGAGGACAAGGAGAACCAGAACAAGATGTAAAACATGGTAATGTGACTGTAGCAGATAGAAAGCACTGGCTGAGGCTCATGGGCAGTTCTAGACAGGGGCGACGGGGGCCAGTGCCCCTGTAATGAAGACATAATACTCTTAATGATGATATGTGCTGGAAGAGACATGTTACTGATTGTTCTTTTGGATCTATTTCATTTTTTCTTTAATAAATTCTGTTTTACTAATTATTTAAAAACAATAAGGTGATAGCTTTAGTGGCATTAAGATAGGATCCCAGTTTTTATCTGCTAAATGTTTTTTTCAAAACAAATAAAATAAAAAA